GCTCGCACGAATGTCATGATGATCGTATCGATCGTACAATTGTACATGTAGCGATAGCGAGTGCTTTTCAGTTGCTAGCTAGAATACTAGTTATATAGCTTTCGCTGGCTTTAGAGTTTTTCCTGGTAGAAGCAGATCCCCCTGCTAAGATGCATGTAAATAGCTGTAGCTGGTTTAAAAGCACCTTCCTAGTAGGAACTTATTTAGTTTTTGCTGACTTATTTGTGTTCTAACCCTACCCTTATACCTGCAGGGACCACCGTAGCAGGGAAAACAATTCGGCTTTTTTTCAGCGTTCGTCTCCTGTTTCCTCAGTTTGCTCGCTACTTGGATCCATATGACAAATATATGCAATCCAGCCATTGTACCGGTAGCCAGCTACCGTACCGTAGGCAGAGAGTTACATCGATCCGTGACAGTGGCAACAGTACCGAACACACTCAGGTTCCGCTTTACTGGCTACAATCCGTTACCGGTATCTTCCATTGGATCCTTCTGACGAATACATGCACAACCGAACATTGTCAATCCAGCCATCGTAGCCAGCTACCATACAGTTACATCCGTGACAGTGGCAACAGTACCGAACACACTCAGGTTCCGCTTTACTGGCTACACTCCGTTACCGATACCTTGCATTGGATCCTTATGACAAATACATGCACAACCGAACATTATGAATCCAGGCATTGTAGCCGGCTGCGGTATAGCTACATCAACGACAGTGGCAACAGTACCGAAAGTTCGGCTTTGTGCGCTACGGTTACCGGTAACTCGCATTGGATCCTTATGACGAATACATGCACAACCGAACATTATGAATCCAGTACCGAACACACTCAGGTTCGACTTTGCTCGCTGCAGTCGGTTACCTCGCATTGGATCCTTATGACGAATACAAGCACAACCGAATATTGTCAATCCAGCCATTGTAGCCAGCTGCCGTATAGCTAGTGGCAACAGTACTTGACTTGCACATACAGGAAAATGGGTACCGACACAGGAATCACCACCAAAACAGTAGGAAAACATAAGAAGGGATGAATCTGGTAGGAGGATCCACTCTCTTGTGTGCGTGCGAGTGTTGTCGTGTAGCAGGAAAAATAATTTAAGCCAGCTCAGCTGTGTAACCTCGGCAGAAAGGTTTCAGTGTATGGGATGGCAGTCAGTTCTCAGCCATGGACGGCCAAGTTGAAGAACAAGGGTAAGTCGCCGGTTTTCTTCAGTGTCAGAATAGAAGAGAAAACCATAGCTATTTCTTACTTTCTCTTCTCTTACTGCTGACGGCCGGCGAACTACTATTGTCGAGTCCTTTTCGGTCGCTCCGGACAACAAGAGGAGAGGCTTCGATCGATCGCTACAAACAAGAGGATGCTCTGTTAACTCCAGCCCTATCACCAGCCTGAACATCGTTGAGTCATTGAATGGCAACAGTCGTCAACCGGAGGAGGAGGCTATACGACACACGACAACACACAAGAGAGTGGATCCTCCTACCGGATTCATCCCTTCTTATTATTTCCTACTGTTTTGGTGGTGATTCCTGTGTCGGTACCCATTTTCCTGTATGTGCAAGTCAAGTACTGTTGCCACTAGCTATACGGCAGCTGGCTACAATGGCTGGATTGACAATATTCGGTTGTGCTTGTATTCGTCATAAGGATCCAATGCGAAGTAACCGACTGCAGCGAGCAAAGTCGAACCTGAGTGTGTTCGGTACTGGATTCATAATGTTCGGTTGTGCATGTATTCGTCATAAGGATCCAATGCGAGTTACCGGTAACCGTAGCGCACAAAGCCGAACTTTCGGTACTGTTGCCACTGTCGTTGATGTAGCTATACCGCAGCCGGCTACAATGCCTGGATTCATAATGTTCGGTTGTGCATGTATTTGTCATAGGGGTATCTGCTTGTACACTGAAACCTTTCTGCCGAGGTTACACAGCGGAGCTGGCTTAAATTGTTTTTCCTGCTACGGTGGTCCCTGCAGGCACTACAGGTATCTGCTTCTAGCTAGCTAGCTATTAGCTAATATGGTTATCTGCTAGAAGCAGATACATGTAGTGCTTAACTTGCGCTTTTAAATAGCTAGAAGCAGATCCCCTAGCTAGAAGCAGATTCCCATAGCAAGCTAGAAGCAGATACCCCAAGCTAGCTAGAATACTAGTTAGATAGCTTTTGCTAGCTTTAGAGTTTTTCCTGGTAGAAGCAGATCCCCCTACTAGGATGCATGTAAATAGCTTTAGCTGGTTTAAATGCACCATCCTAGCACTAGGATACTTATTTAGTTTTTGCTGACTTATTTGTATTCTAACCCTACCCTTATACCTACAGGGACCACCGTAGCAGGAAAAACAATTAAAGGGGTTGAGGGCTCTGGCAGCAAGACTGCCGAGGTAAAGCTATGCTGATATGTAATGAGATCTTGGTAACATGCAGAGAATAGAAGAAAGCTGCCACCTTCGACAAAAATCACCATGCCAGCCAGGATTCCGCCTGTGCTTCTTTTTAGCAACTAGTCAGATGCAACGTCCATGATGTCAGGTTGCCTGAACCACTGCCCGAAACTCTACCTACGGTTATTGTCCACATTCCTGTGGCATCCTTGAAATCGAATGAAGAAAGAGTGCCCTCTGGTTTGACATAAGTGCTGCCAGAGTTAGAACCACAGACAGCATCACCAGCACCAGCACCATGAATTGTGGTGTTACTTGAATCATCGAAGCGAGCATGAAAGTCAGCAGCAGTACCACAGTCCTCATCCATAAGATTGACACTTGCACCATCGTGTTGGACCATTACAAACAGTTCACTCAGTTTTGAATATGTAATGTCAACTTCAATATCAACGTCACACAAGGTGAAGGAGGGACCGACAGAAAAGAAAGAATAATTTGGTACAGAAGGTATCGCAAAATTGATGGTTCCAGAAGAGAACGAAAACACAGGAGCAGAGGTTGGTGGCTCGGTTGGTGGCTTGGTTGGTGCCTTTGTGGGTGCCTTCGTTGGAGCAGTGGTTGGCTGTGGTGTTGGTGGATCGGTTGGTGCCTTTGAGGGTGATTTAGATGGGTTAGATGAAGGCACATCAGATGGAGCCATTGAAGGCAAATCAGATGGGCTTCTGCTTGGGCTAAAGGAAGGCATGTCAGATGGTGCAATGCTGGGTCTAGCTGAAGGCACGGTGCTTGGACTGGAGGAAGGCACATCAGATGGTGCCATGCTGAGGATCAAAGAAGGCACATCTGATGGACTGATGCTTGGATTGGAAGAAGGCACATCTGATGGGCCCAAAGAAGGCACATCTGATGGTACCATGCTGGGGATCAAAGAAGGTACATCTGATGGGCTGTTGCTTGGATTGGAAGAAGGGGCATCTGATGGGCCCAAAGAAGGCACATCTGATGGTGCCATGCTGGGGATCAAAGAAGGTACATCTGATGGGCTGGTGTTTGGATTGGAAGAAGGGGCATTCGATGGGCTGCTGCTTGGATTTGAAGAAGGGATATCCAATGAGCTAGTACTGGGTGTCATTGAGGGAACACAGCTTGGAATATCTGAGGGGCCAAGACTTGGAGTATCCGATGGGGCACTGGATGGCATTCTGCTTGGGGTGCTGGAGGGGTCCTGTGATGGGGCTTTTGAAGGCAATTTGCTTGGAAAGCTAGATGGGACCCTGGATGGAATTGTGCTTGGGGTGCTGGAGGGGCCTTGTGATGGCTGGGGTGTTGGCTGATTTGTGGGTTGTGGTGTGGTTGGATTTGTTGGATTTTTGGTTGCGTTGTTGGTTGGTACCTTCGATGGAACAGCGCTAGGTATTGCAGATGGGGTTGTTGATGGGATCACTGATGGGCTGCTTGATGCTGTGGGACTGGGTGTTGGATTCCCAGGTACAACAGTGGGCATTCTCGAAGGGGGGGATGAAGGGGAAGGGGAAGATGACGGACTTCTTGAGGGACCAACGGAAGGATTCTCAGATGGCTCTAATGATGGAGTAATGCTAGGCAGTTCTGAAGGGTCCATTGATGGGTGGGCAGATGGCTTTGTAGATGGCATTTCTGTTACTTGGCTGGCAGTTGGAGCCCCTGAGATTGACGGACTGGCAGATGGGTTCAGCGAAGGCTCACCACTTGGAAACACTGATGGTGTTTTTGAGAGCGAGGGTGCTTCTGAAGGCCCTATTGATGGAATCTCTGATGGGCTTCCAGATGGAAGAGTGCTAGCTGTTGGCATTGATGATGGCAGAGAGGAAGAGTTGCTTGATGGTTGAGCTGATTGAAGGCCACTGGGCAAGATGGAGGGCGCAGTTGAAGGTTGGAGTGAAGGGTCCGTAGAGGGGCTATTGGATGGCATACTTGATACGCTACTGGAGAGTGCCACCGAGGTTGCCATAACCCCAGCTGTGTTTATGGATGCTGTCAATTGTTCAAGGAACAAAGACTCTTGAGCAGCTTGAATAAGAGCAATTCCTGGGGCTTGTTGTGCTGTTATTGTGAACCCAACCAATGAAGTCTGCAGCTTTCTTTCACCCCAAAGCTGGATAGAGCGTGCTGTAGCCATAGCAGCATTGCTACCAGGCCTGCTGAACACAACCATGCTCTCTACTGAAGGCGGGCAACTGCTACCCGTATATATTGCACCCAGTGCTGTTGTGAACGCTCCTGTCAATATGACATCTCCCAAGGGGCTGATGTTCCCAGTGAATCCGACTGTGTAGTTGGATTCCACAGAAGCTAAAGAGAGCCCGCATCCTGTTGGGGATTCGCTGGGTGGCGAGCTCTGTGTGGGACTTGTCGTGGGAATCTCACTTGGTGGCAGACTCTCCGTGGGACTCGTAGTGGGGATCTGTGTTGCTTCAACTGTAGGTTCCAGTGTTGAAATCAAGACCTCAGTTGCAAGGGTTAGAACAGAACCTACTACCAAGGAATCTGCATTGGGAGTGACAGCAGTGAGGCTTTCACTGTACTCGTCGCCGAATAAAGAATCATCAATCAGGAAGACGCCTACGTCTTGTTCTGCAACAACCAGGAATTCAATATAGTTGTAAACAATGATGAGATTGTCATCATAGAAGAAATCATCATAATAGAAGAAATCGTCATCGTTGAAAAGTCATCGCCACCATAGAAATCGTTAGTTTGCAGCACTCGTGCTCCGGTTGACTGAGAGACCTTCTGCTGGCGGGTCTTCACTTTTGTCGCACTGGTAGAGTGTGAATGCTCCAGCTTGCGGTTCCTAGCAGTACGATAGTCAAGGGAAACACTATTGACTGATGATGCACAGAAGGTGTCATCATCTGGCTGCGATGCAATCGCAAGTTCAAAAGCCAAGATGAACTCTTCATCAGAGATAAGTGAGATGTCGCCTTCGAAATCCATCCCGATTATGTTTGCTGTTTCCTCAAGAGTACAGGCTGATGGGAAATTGCTAACCGATGGTGAAAATGTGGGTACTTCGGTTTGCGGGATTGTGGGGACTCCAGTTTGTGTGACTGTGGGATCTTGTGTTGGCTGTTCTGTTGGTTGTTCTGTTGGTTCAGCTGTTGGTTCAGCTGTTGGTTCAGCTGTTGGTTCAGCTGTTGGCTCAGAGGTTGGTTCAAAGGTGGGTTCAGGGGTTGGTTCAGGGGTTGGTTCACTTGTTGGTTCAGGTGTTGGCTGCTCTGTTGGGAGTTCAGTTGGTGTCGCAGTTAGAACAGCCGTAGTTGGTTTGGCTGTTGTTGGAGCAAAAGTTGGACTGCCAGGTGTAACAGAAGGGGAAGCTGTTGTCGGAGCCAAAGTAGGGCTACCTGGAGCGACCATAGGCAAAGCTGTGGTGGGACTGGCGCTTGTCGGTTTGGCTGTTGTTGGAGCCAAAGAAGGACTTCCAGGAGTGATAGTTGGCAAAGCCGTGGTGGGACTGGTAGTTGTGGGGAAAAGAGAAGGGCTACCGGGAGTGACAGTAGGAGTTATCGTAGTGGGCCTGTCAGTTGTAGGAACAACAGAAGGACTCCTTGGAGAAATTGTAGGTAAAATTGGTGTTTGGCTGTCACTCGTGGGCATGGATGTGGTTGGTGCAACAGAAGGGCTGCCTGGGGTGATGGTAGGTATTGCTGTAGTGGGACTGGCACTTGCGGGTGGGTCTGTTGTTGGTGCAATGGAAGGACTACCAGCAGCAACTGTGGGCACAGCTGTGGTGGGGCTGGCTGTTTTTGAAGCATCAGCACGAAGACCAGGGGTAACAGTAGGCAGTGCTGAGGTGGGCCTCACACTGGTCGGTCCCGCTGTTGTTGGACCAATAGAAGGACTACCTGGAGTCACAGTTGGCAAAGCCGAGGGGGAACTGGCACTTGTGGGTTTGGCTGTTGTTGGAGCTGAAGAAGGACTACCAGGTGAGACTGTAGGCAAAGCTGTTGTTGGACTGGTAGTTGTTGGTGTTTCTGTTGTTGGATAAACAGAGGGACTACCACGAGTTACTGTTGGAAAAGCTGTAATGGGACTGATGTTTGTGACTGCTGCTGCATTCTGAGCCGAATAGGGGCTACCAGGAGTGACTTTAGGCAAAGCTGTTGAGGGACTTGCACTTGTTGGTTTGGTTGTTGTTGGTGTCATCGAAGGACTGCCAGGAGTGACCGTAGGCAAACCCGTGGTGGGACTGGCACTTGTGGGTCTTTCTGTTGTTGGAGCAACAGAAGGACGGCCGGGCATGACTGTCGGCAAATCCGTAGTAGGACTGGCACTTGTCAGTTTGGTTGTTGTTGGTGTCATTGAAGGACTGCCAGGAGTGACAGTAGGCAAATCCGTGGTGGGGCTAGCGCCTGTGGGTCTTTCTGTTGTTGGGGCAACAGAAGGACTGCCGGGGATGACTGTCGGCAAAGCTGTTGAGGGACTTGCACTTGTCGGTTTAGGTGTTGTTGGTGTCATTGAAGGACTGCCAGGAGTGACAGTGGGCAAATCCGTGGTGGGGCTGGCGCTTGTGGGTCTATCTGTTGTCGGAGCAACAGAAGGACTACCAGGAGTCACCGTAGGCAAAACCGTAGTGGGACTGGCACTTGTGTGTCTGTCTGTTGTTGTTGGGGCAACAGAAGGACTGCCGGGCATGACTGTCGGCAAATCCGTGGTGGGACTGGCACTTGTGGGTCTGTCAGTTGTTGGAGCAATAGAAGGACTGCCGGGCATGACTGTCGGCAAAGCTGTTGAGGGATTTGTACTTGTCGGTTTATCTGTTGTCGGAGCCAGAGAAGGGCTACCTGGAGTGACTGTAGGCAAAGCTGTGGTGGGACTTCTACTTGTGGGTTTGTCTGTTGTTGGAGCAACAGAAGGACTACCAGGAGTGACTGTAGGCATGGCTGTGATAGGTCGTTCGCTTAATGGTGTGACGGTTGAATCAGTGGTCTCCGTATCTCGCAGTTCATCGATATTTGTTCCCACCTCCTGCGTATCTTCTTGTAGTTGGCCTGATGAGTCGGGTTCTTCATCAGATAGTTGAGCAACCATTTGGTTGATGGTTACTCGTGGGGCAGTCAAGTCTAGTATTCTGTCAACAATCCTTGGAAGTATTTCCTGGCATTGGCCACTGCTAGGATTCTCCAAACAAACGCTCAAAGATTCAGAGTCAATATCTCCTGAAGTGTCTTCAAGAATACGCTTGCACAACTCTGGATCATCTTTGGTGCTAGTGCTCTCTTGAAGACACTCCCATATGGTGAGTAGCTCAGCATTGACAAAAGGAGTCTTGATGGTTCCGTTGTTTGCTTCCACAAGTTGCCTGGCTTGTTTTAGAATCTCAGGGTCAGCCACTTGAACTTGCTCCGCTTCCAAGTTGATCACGTCCATTTTGGTTGAAGCAAGAGTCACAGCAGAGACAACTTCCACTGGGGTCACTATCGATGTTCTGCTGGATTGGCAAGCATTCACATTATTCGAGAGGGCTGTCTGCATGTTGAATTCAAAGGAAACAGCATGTAGAGGCAAGAATTCGGACATTTCAACATTCAGCCCACCCATCACAAGTTTCCTATGGATATGCGGAATACTCAAAGTTCGCCTCGTTCCGGCTGACGAGTTGTCTGCGGTTGCTAGATGAAACAGTGGCTCGTAATCTGGGCACCCATTACAGGCAACAATGGCCTTCCAGACAATCGTAGTGATGCTGTCAGCCTCCAGATCGCAGTATTCATCCCAGGTAGTATTGGTGCCTTGAAGCCACGAGACCAATGGGTCCGTCTGGGAGGTTTGATCTCCATTAGAAGAGCTAATCCTGCTGACCATTGAGCTGTTCCCGAGATCCAGACTATCAAAATTAGGTGGCAACAAGCTCTGAGTGTCATTGCCTATGGCGTTGCCCCAATCTGTTTCCCACTTGTCAATGGAAACATTGTGCATGACTCGATCATACAGGTCCAGACACATTCCCTGGAAGTTGCCGAGGAAACAGGCAGTTGTAGTCAGAATGAAATTGATATGAATAGGACGATTAATGAGCGAGCAACCTTGAGACTAGAAGCAGTATACTCACAGAGATATCATTGTAAATATCCCTAAAGAGGAACTCCATCAGCTGCTTGTCCTCGGGATTGAACGCAAGATCAGGTGGGATTCCCTTGATCTGAAGCTCGATAAACCCGACCTCCATCTTTTGAGCATCCGAGCAAACGGGGGGAACAAAGGCGTCAAAAATTACGGAAGATTGTGATTCTGGGGTTGGGGTTGGAGCGGTTGAAGTTGACTGGATTACCCCAACAGACAATGCTGCGGCAGTCAGCGTTGCTAGCGACAGGAACAAGTGAGCAGATGAGATTCGAAATGCTGTAGCTGCGTTCCTCTTGCGAGCATCCCGTCAAATAGAATCAAATCTTACCTCCAACAGCAACACCAGCCTGAGTGATTAGACTTGTAGAGGCAACTGCTCCGACCAATGTGGTGGTGGCCCCAGTTAGACCTGAAAGCAGTGATTGAAAACACAGTGGTGAGAATGTTGCAATGAGGAAGTCTTAACAATGAATAGGATTATTCAGTGGCACAGACCAGCAGCAGAAACTCCAGCAACACTAGCACTGGCAGCGACTCCAGAAGCCGAGGAGGTCGCAGCACCTTGAGCCTATAGCAATATCAAAAGAGAGAAGGCAGTTAGGAATCAGAAGAGGCATAAGGATCCGATCCGAAAGGCGATGAACTTACAGCCGAAGCCGCCATTTCCGCCACACCAGGAGTGCCAATAGGAGCTCCACCGAATCCACCAGTACTAGTAGTACTATGAATGCTAGCATTATCGAGGCCTCCCACCAAAAGCTTGGAAGAGTCCGTAGATAGTGCCTTGGAAGGTTCCATGGCATCTGCGACTTCGAGACCACGTGGTTCTGTCACATCATTTGCAGTACGCGTGAACATACGCAACAACTGATCCAAAAGCTGGATGAACAATTCTTGGATAGACCTCAAAAAGCCGTCCAAAGCTTCCAAACAAGGAGCAAAAACGGTACACCCAAGCTTATCCACAAAGAATGACACGAATCCCTCTCGAACTGCGTCTTCTCGTTCTTGAGCAGAGTCAATAGACACGCTCTCATGAAAACTGCCTTCCTCCAATTCGTTGACACCACCCTTATCATTCTCAATATCCTCCTCTCCAGTTTTCTCATCCTTCGGGTCTTCATCATCGACATCCAACTCCAAGTCTACAACATCGTCCGCCACAACCGGACCGTCGGTCCCAGCACTATAGAAGTTAGACATGACCATTCTGTTGCTTGTGCGTCGTTTTTTGCTATAATCGTCTCAAATGACTGTACGAAAGGGCGCTGATGAGTGTCTTGAAGGATGCTTTGTCAATGACTTCCGTTGATAACCTCCCTGCTCTGAAACCTCCTTGTAGTTACTAATCTTGGTAGATGTCCAACAGGTTGAAAGAATGAGTGCGTGGCCGAAGGTTTGTTGTATGGCGGAATTGACAACATGAGTGCAGAAGATGCCAATGAGGTTGAGTGCCCCTTGTGGTCTTCGGTAAATGACTTCCCCATGACCATTTCTGCACGTGCACGTCGGCTCACGCAAACCTGCGAAATCTAAAACGCAGCACAATCTGACCCAAGAATGGCAGAAATTGGTTGAAAACGGTGAAACTGCAATACAGGACTATCTAGCTAAAGATGGTTGTAGACGTAAACATAGAGGAAAAAATGAAACAAATGGTCCAATGATGCGGTAAATTATAGCGCGAGGCCAACTGGCCTGGAAGGCGGGAGGAGGGAGAAGGCACAAGGGGTGAGACTGCTCAGCGCTCAGCTTAGTCTGCTATTCCTGTCCCAGCCAGTTTTCCTGCATTGCTCCAACCCAAAGCGCAAAGGAAAATAACTCCCCAACTCCTTGAGGATCATCAGTCATGAGCGTGACTAATGAGCTAGTAAATCTTAGTCTTCAACGTGATTATCTTACGTAGAGTCGAGTCTGACTTCCTCTGGGGTTTTCCTTTGAGGAATACCACCTTTTGATTTGCGCTCTGAAGCAAAGCTGAGGTAATTCCGGGAGGCACGGAGTTCCTCGAAGACTCCAAGGAAACGTTACCTTGTGCCTGCTGGTTGTAAGATATTGCTCTCCTCATTCGCACGTTTAAGATAAGTTGGTTCATGTACTGAAGTTGACATGTTAAGATAACCTAGACACTCAGAATTCCCAAACCAGAAAGATAGGCTACAAGTACCAACGTCTCAATCCTAAGCCAACACTTCTTCAATGTGGGGAGTGAGGGAAGCTATTACCCACGAGCTTCCACATCACCATCTACATCCAAGTCCTCTATATCCCCATCTTTGGGTGCCTCCTCTACCACAACATCGTTGGTTTCATCAATTTTGACTTGGTACCTTTTCCTTTGGTGGTGTCTCCTCACTGTCTGAGGGAATGGTTAGTAATAGGGTATGTGGCAATTGCTGATAGTGGATACAAGATATGAAAGATACTGAAATTGGGCTGCTTGTAAGATAATCTTATTAGTGAGTTAGGAGTGGTGTCTAGCGAACAAACCCAATGGGTCACAGTGACAGCTCTTTTTGGCCGCTGGAGCATTATTACAGTACAAGACTTAGTAGTTTTTGCCTCAAAACCTCAGCATTTTCCCAAGGCGCAGAACAGCTGTAACCGGTACCGCTAGATAGCCATTTTGTCAGAAGGTCCGATGTGTACATTTCCTAGCCTGCTCCCTAGCTAGCTAGCTGCTAGCTAGTTGCTACTTACTCGACGATTGGCGCTTTGCACTCCACTGCTGACATGCATTACATGTACTGCATTACAAGCCCATGCAGTACTGACCACAAAGCAGAACAGTAATTGTGCTGTGCCGCATGCCCAAATGGCTGATATCTATCTATTTGGTCAAAGCAAATCACACAACAAGTAAAGCCTCCTCAAATCACACCCCACGGAACATGCCAGCCGGATCGGAACCTTTTTTAAAAAAGTTCTGGTACATGTACTGTATGGTACTAGCTAGCTAGCTAGCTAGTACTTGGATGGAATGCTTGGCGGTACTGTATTACAGTCGGTATGGTAGTTATACTTCTTTGAGTGAAAGAGTGGAGCGAGCGACTGGTTGGCTGCAGCTATTTTTTAAAGCCTGTCGTATCTATGATAGCTCTAGCTAGTAGTAGCTACGATAACATGAAATGCATTTGATAGATTGATTCATTATTCTCACTTGAAGCAAGCAAAAGAATCGTTTTACGAGCGGCGCCTTGCAGAGGCTTTGGAGGAACCGGGCGAACTTGCATCAATTCTGGCTGCAGCAGCCAAGGCAGTACGGTGTTGACGGTAGCTAGCTAGCACAACATGAAGTAGACTGTTGTATGGTACTGTACTGATTTTATCAACACACAAGTCCGTTCGCAACAGGCATCATTCCCGTTCCATTGCCGCGTCGTGCGGGGGTGGCTAGCTAGCTTGCTTTTTGGGGATCCACAACATGTACGGTTGCTACATGATCTCAAAGCGGGACGGTTTTTGCTCGGTCCTTGACTTCGGATTAGACATAAGCAAAAGTCACCCCGCTCGTCCGTTGGGGTATTTGGTACCGTTCCATTTACGTGATGTAAACAGAACGGATCTATTTACTCACGTAGTCATGGCGGACAGTAAACGGAACCGTTCCATAGAATGTAATCGGATCAGTTCTGTTAACTTCTCGAACCTTCTCGGAACGTAATCGGAACCGTTCCGAATACTGTCCGCCTTAAACTGTCATTGGTGTGGTATGGTTGCTGCCTTTAAAGAGGTTCTGGTCTTTGAACACAATGTGCCCTTTCATTTCATTCCTAAAGTAGTCAGCTCATGAGATTTCAGACAAGTGCACCATGTTTCCAACACCAACTAATCCACGTATCCAGCCTTCTACAGAAGAAGTCAGTTGGTTGGTACCTTCCATTAGCCTTGAGGATGTGGAGGGGAATCCTCCAATTGACCTTTGCTGCATGTTCTGCTTTGATGGAGATTATGCCAAAACTGCAGCTAAAATGGAAACAACAAAGATCATACTTCCTCCTTCTATCTATGAACCTGATCCTGACAAGAAAGATGTTACTCTAGACTTGATCATCGACAAAGCTATGAAACATTCTGACACAACTCTTATCAAAGGCAAGATTGACAAAACTGTTGGCAATGAGATTCACTACTATTTACTTTGTGAATGCAAGCGAAAATACTACAGTCAACGGGGCGCCACAACATCGGCAAAAGAGAACCAAAAGGAAAACTTTAGACAGGATAGAATAGTCGACAAGGGGAAAGGTAGTCGAGGTCCAGATGGGAGGAGCTTTCCCCGCAGAACCGAGACATCTAAGCCCCACAAAAAATGCCCTGTTGAATTCAAATTGAGGTTGATCCCTGGCCAGTACTGGTACTTCAAGAGAACTCGTAAGGCACTGGGTATTCACAACCATTCTCGAACTCCATTTGTTGACAAACATAGAAGAATGAAAACCTACTCGCAGGAAGAATTGAATCTGGCCCAAACGTATAGCCAAATCTGTCCTGCCGGTGCCGCGATGGCTTTGACTAGCAAGGCAACTGGCACCCTAGCACCTTCCAAAGATCAGCTCCGTTACAACAAGTCTCCCACTTCTAACAAACCTGTATCCCAATCCCAGGCTCTTATCGAGTACCTCAGGGAGCAAGTATCTTTGAAGAAGATGAGATTCGTTGCATTGTATCACGAGGTCACTGAGACAAGTTTGCTAATCATTTCAAAGGCCAGCATGAATAGGAGGGCTCAACAGATGAACAATGAGGGTGTCTTTGATGAGGACCTGGAACAAGCTGAAGATATACAGCTCACCTATGAGGACTCCAGTTCCACTGTCCAGCAGCTGAGACTTAAGTCAGCTGCAGAGAAGGTTGGTATTGCAGAGGCACTATTGGCATGAAGCAAGATATGCAAGTGGGCAAAAAGGTGTTCCTTGCTTGTGCCTGGTGCACTAAGAAGAGAGAAAACTGTTTCAGAATATCCAGAAGTTCTTATGGTTGATGTAACGTTTCAAACAAACAATCAGGGAAGGCCTCTGTTTACAAGTTGCTCACCAGGCAGGGACATGTTCTTCTTCACACCATTAAGGGCCTACTTACCTTCCCAATGTAGGTGGGTCTTCAGTTGGCTGTTTGGAAGTGCCATACATTGTTACTTGGCATGTACTCTCTTGCAAGAACTCAGCTGGTGCTCAGTGACGGTGACCCAAACATCTATCTATCGTTCTATCTATCTCTTTC